ATTAAGTTTCAAAGGGTTTCATTCATCTCTTAATGACTACTCACTCTTTTACAAGAAATCACTGGATTCAATTTCAATTGTCGCAGTTTACGTAGATGACATCCTACTTACAGGAAATAACAAGGAAAAACTTCATCAATTGAAACAATTTCTTCACCAGGAATTTCAGATCAAGGACTTAGGTGACTTACACTATTTTTTGGGTCTGGAGACTCTTCGCGAGCCACAAGGTTTAATCATCAGTCAACGGAAATTCACCTTGGAAGTTCTTGAAGAATTTGATTGTAGTCGTTTGCCCTCTGCCACATCTCCATTGGACCCTTCATGCAAGCTTAGTGCTGAATCTGGTGACCTTTTTTCTGATCCAACTGTCTATCGCCGACTCCTAGGCAAATTGAATTATCTCACTCACACAAGACCAGACCTGTCCTATCCAGTACAACACCTCAGTCAATTCATGCAACAGCCCCGTGTGCCTCACTTTAATGCTGCCCTACGGGTGGTTAGATATCTCAGATCCAACCCTGGACAGGGTATTTTCATGTCCTCTGCTCCCTCCCTCACACTACTTGCATTTTGTGATGCGGATTGGGGATCTTGTGTTGATACACGACGATCTATAAGTGGGTATTTTGTCACTCTCGGTGGATCTCCAATTTCATGGAAATCCAAGAAGCAAGCTTCAGTATCGCTCTCATCCGCCGAAGCAGAGTATCGATCTATGAGGCGGGTAGTTGCTGAAGTCACTTGGCTAACTCGACTCTTGACAGATCTCGATACACCACCGTCTCTTCCGATTTCTGTTCATTCTGATTCACAAGCTGCAATTCACATCGCTCGGAACCCTGTATTCCATGAGCGAACAAAGCACGTTGACCTTGATTGCCATTTTGTGAGGCAACAATTTCTCTCTGGTTTGATTTCTCTGTCCTTTGTCCCATCATCCTCTCAATTAGCTGATATATTCACCAAACCCCTATCCGGCCCATCTCATAATTTGGTTCTTGGCAAGTTGGGCCTCGCTACACTCCCCTCCAACTTGAGAGGGGGTGTTAGAACCTCATTTGTGCAGCCCAACATGGAAATGGTCCAGAAGCATGGAAATGGCCCAACAATTGAGGACCCAGG